AGAGAGAGAGCGAGAGAAGGAGAGAGCAAGAGAAAGATAAAGAAAGATAAAGAGAACGAATATGAGAAAGAGAAAGAGAAAGAGAGAGAGAAAGAGAAAGAGACAGAGAGAGAGAGAGGGAGAGAGACAGAGAGAGAGAGAGCGAGAAAGAGAAAGCGAGAGAGAAAGAGAAGGAGAGAGGGAGAAAGAGAGAGAGCGAGAGAAAGAGAGAAAGAGAGAAAGAGAGAAAGAGAGAAAGAGAGAAAGAGAGAAAGAGAGAAAGAGAGAAAGAGAGAGAGAGAGAGAGAAAGAAAAAGAAAGAAAGAGAGAAAAAGAGAGAGAGAGAGAGAGAGAGAAGGAGAAAGATAAAGATAAAGATAAAGGTAAAGAAAGAGAGAGAGAGAAAAACAGATAACATGAATAATTTCATAGATATACCATAACATTATTGCATTGCCTTTCTCATATTCGCTTTCGGGATAATCGGTGTCTAGCTTACTCACAAGGTAGACATCAACCCGGGGTTGCCCTTGCGGCCAACAGGGTTTGTGAATTGAAGTACTTCGGAGAGAACCCCTCTGTCTAACATGTAAGCCAGAGGGTCACAGGAACATGAGCCCCGAGTCAGGCTTGTGAGCTGGTTCAACATCAAGGATTCAGGATCCCTTGCTTCGTGGTGTCCGGATTTTGGAGTAGGATTGGGGACCCCATTTGGGGGGATTATTTGCATGTTCCTCTTCAAAGCGCCTCCCAGGTTGCATGTTTGACAGGGCATTCTTCACTTTGGTGGGCCTCAAACAGTTCCGGGACTTTATTTGTCACTTTTGGGAAAGCCAAGTGGCAAGCAAAGAGTTCGGACCCGAGCCAATCCACCGGAAGTGAGGCTGGCCAATGCTTCCTTTTGCTCAGGACACAGCGATCATCGTGACGCGGGAGCTGATGACCAAGGGAGGCATCATCTCGCGGATGCGCCGAGATTTGCATTGCCGGACTGGGAGAGGTAGCCAAGACTTGTTTCGATCCCCAGATCTGGGGACTTTTTCTTGTTGAGGAGTCAATTTTCGTGCTTGGGCGACACGTTCTGTTGTCCCAGCATTCTTCCAAACGTGGAAGTGCGCAGCCCCCTCGGCAGACGGTGGGTTCCTCTTGCTTGGGGAGCCTGTCCCGCCCATAAATGCTTTGTCAGAAGCCTTTGATCAGAGCCGCTTCTGAGAAACCAGCAAAACTTGGGCGCTTGTGTGCGACTCAAGACGGAAATTGTTATCCACATATTGACACATATGGTACCTATTTGTCCTTTGTACTATGTGTAAAACACACTGAACCATGCCAGTTTCTCTCTTTCTCTCTCTCTCTCTCTCTCTGTCTCGCTCTATCTCTCTTTGTCTCCCCATGTTGTTTTCAGGCAATTGTAGCCTCAGATGCTTCTAAGAACAAAAGAACAGTTCCTGGGCCTTGGCTTGGGCCTGTGGCTTCCCTATCCAGCGATCCCGCGGCTCTGAGGCACTTGCAAGCTGATAGCTCCGGATACTTCGACAGGACCCGTTTAGGGGCGTCGAGGTTGATCCGTCGATGTGGCTCGTCTTTGTTGAGGACCCCCCTTTTTTGTGGTTGGCTGCAAGGGAAGCCAAAAGGAAACCCCAGTCAGCTTGCAGTGCCCTGAACAAAGGACTCACCCGTCTGCAGTTTTGTTTTTCCCAAAGTGGTCAAACTTCAGTTGCGCCCCTGCGCCCCCGCCCCCCCGGCCCGCTTTCCAGCCCTTAGAGTGAAGCATGTAGCGATCACCCCGAGACCAAGCGATCGGACTCCTTCGCTAGGACGGACTGGACGCAGCTCTACTTCTGGGCCGTGGCGGTGGCTCTGCGAACCTTCTTGACAAATCGAAAGCCGAAGCGCTACTGTGGATGGACAAAATTCATTTCGCACCACTTTGAAACGATGGGAATCCAGTATTTGTTGGTATTTGCAGAGGGGTCATCATTCCAGGGTTGCTTGTGTGGTGCGGGATTTCGTCCATCCACAGTACGAATCAACCCAGGGCTTTGTGGGACAGCATCTGAGCCACAATCAAAACCCGGGTAGATGAAGGATAGTCAGGACCAATCCCACCCATAAATCGCTGCGGCCGCCTTCTTACCTTTTTTTTGATGTGGCCCTGGGTAGACCATTTTAATTCCGGGTTTTGATTCTGACTCATCTCAGTTGAGTTACAACCAACTTCCTTTCGTTCATTTTCTGTGGGTGCGCAGTTTCGATTCCTCTCATTACCCCTTCGGTTGATACCTTTCTCCCATTCCCCGAATTGAATGGGTTTGTGCAATTCAAGTACAACATTGCCCTTCGTACTTGTTGGGTTTTGTACAATTTGAGTGGGGAACAACGATTTTGGATTGTTTCGGTGACAGGGCACGCGTGCCGTCTGAAAGATTCAGGTCTCCGGGCCTCATTTTCCGTTGGACAGCGAGGCCTTTCGTCCGTGTTTTGTAGTCCCTTGTCAAATATTTTTGGAGTCTGGAGGGATTTGCGACATATTTTAAAAGCTCGATGTTCTGCTTGTCGGCTTCCATGTTCTGTTGCGGGGGAGTAATGCAGTCCTCGTTCTCGTTCTCTGCAGTGAACCCTTGGTTTTCCCATTGTTTGTCGAGGGTTCTGTAGACCATGTTGTGCCGAAGGCCCCTAAGCCTGCTGGTGTCGGGGGTAGCTGGGTGCTTTGAAGGGCAAAAAACTGCCCCTTTTTGTTGGGTTCCCAAAGAAGGCAAACCCAAACACCAAGTTTCAAACAAGGGCAAGTGAAGGCAAGGGGACAATCCCAACCATGGAATTTCGAAAACCGTGAGTTTGGATTCACCATGTTTGGGCGGAGGGGTTTCTCTTATGATTAAGGGGCCTGGGTTGAACTTTTGGCCCAACCCGTTTTGCTTGGGGTACCCTTGGACTTTTAGACTATACATTAGAGGGATTTATGACATGCCCCACATAATTGATGGTATAACTTTTAGCAAGGCATCGGAGAACCACTAAGTTTAGTGGCAAGCAAAGAACATTCAGGGGGCTTGAAGCCAATAAAAGGAAGTGGACACCAATTCGGCTCTCTTTTGGCGTCCCTTAAACCAACCTGAACAGGAAGCCGCTGCCGGGCTCTCGTCGCTTGGAAGGACCAGTTGAGTGGCACCAGTTTGGGCATAAAGCGCCATGTGCAAACGCCCCCTAAACCATCTGTTATTTTGGGAAGGTGTTTTCTTTTGGTTTTTCTCAGGGAAACATTGGAACAGCTAGCCTCGGGCGCTAGGTGCTCAACGCCTTCAACGTCTACTTCTATCTGGTGATCCGGGCGCGAGCTCGGCTCCCGGCCCACGTGGTGGCCAGCTATGAGCTGTCCCAGACCTGCTCCTAGCGGCCCGTCCGCCCGTCCCGAGACATCCGAATGGACTTGAACACGGCCCAAAAAAAACCAACCCCCACGCCCAAATCGGCCCATTTCAGTAGGATCTACTACCTGTCTTTCAATTGGGGTTATATTGGAGCCTATTGGAGCCTTTAGAAAGATCGTGGAGCCAAAAGTCAATGGGTTTTGGGCGCCGGCTTGAACAATGAGTCTTGGTTGATCTGACCCATCCAAGATACACTCAAGCAGATACACATACCAAGCGAAGGGGCCAGCAAAATGGGATCCCACCTGGAAAATCGGGCTTGTCGGGATATGTAACAAGTTGCGATTTGATGTTTTGCAGCTGGAACTCCCTCAAAAATAGGTTTGTGGGCACAATTGCCCATAAGGAGTCAAAAGGCCCCCATTTGAAGTTCAGACCAAGTCAGCCAGCAACATGATGTTATCTAGCAGACGTTTGTACTGCGCAGTTCCGCATTTCTTTCTTCAGCACAGGGACGTGTCAGAAGGATCTCGGCCGAAGTTCCAGGAGAGGTTCCGTCGCGTTCCTCGAGCAAAAAGCCGTGGATTTGGCGGGTCGCACTTGCGGTCTTAAAACTGGATCTCTTGAGCAGGGCTCCTTAAAAGATAATTACATTTTGCCCATTTGAAACATATGGCTTTTTCCATCAAAATAAAGGAACACCACCATTTACAAGGCAATGTTCAGGTGTATAATGTAAGGATCCCTGTTGAGTTACCTTTTTTAGGGGTTCTCAAAATTGCCTTGGTAGGGAACCCCTGTTGGCCCTGGGTGGTTTCCAGTGGTTTCCATATTTGACTCCCGACTGTAACCAAAAATGGTTTTGAGGGTTGGGGTAGAAACCCTTGTGCACATTTACACTTCGGACCTACTTGGATGTTCAACCTAGTTTAGGCTACAACCATGGTTATAGGTCATCCAACCCCAGTTATCTCAGCAATAACCATGGATATCAAGTAGGGGGTTCTCACAAGGTTCTCAGGCGCTTGCCAATGCTTGGGCCGAGTTCAAAAAAGGTTTGCACAAGCTTTGAGTAACTCTCCGAACGAGGGGCAAGCGTGCTCGGGCCCATGAACACCCCCAGAGGAACCCTTTGCATGGTTCAATTGGGGAGCGCCCAAAGCTCTCATTGTCCAGTTGATTAGGCGGTTCTCTGCTCGATTTTGCAAGAACTACAGGCTATACTAAGCCTTTTACAACCTTTGCAAGCACCAAAGAGTCAATGAGCCTTTCGCTCAGTTGCCAAGGCAGAGTGGGTGCGAGGTTGCAGCTTTCCGGCGCCGGGCCACTCCTTGGGCTTAGGACCTGGTGACTAAACTTAACCTATGGGCCGGCTTTCAAGCAGAGATCGGTGCGATGTCATTCAAACCGCCATTGGAGGTGCGATTTTTGGAGGACGTCGCTTTTGCCCCGGCTTTGATCCCTGCCATCTAAAGACGTGTTTCGTTTTGCAAATCCTCCAGGTTGGCCTGGTTATGTAAGAGCTCTTGAAGGAGGAACAGCCTCAGGTCGGGTTTTTCATTGCTGTGCTAGAGGTTCTGTAAAAACAGCGTTGGGAGTGGTTCAGGGTCCGCAGGTTCGAGTTCGTTTCCGCCAGCTGGTCTCTGGCAGGCGGACTTGGCGCGGGCGCGGTGGCCGAGAAACTCGCTCGCCGGCCACGGGGACGTTGGGTCTCCCCAAGGGTTTTGTCTTTTGGTTGAGATGAAATATGGGGAGTCAGAACATTTGAGGTTCTGTGAGTCCCAGTCCAAGTTACATGTTTGCCCGACGGAAAAAGAGGAACCTAGAGAAATGAATCCTAGGTGTGGGGTTGAAAGTTGACAACGATAAGGGACCCTTGATTCGACTGCGAGAGACACAAACTACATATTGAGGTCACTAAAAGCTGGGCTGCTCCGGATTAATAAATCTGAGGTTGACATCAGGTGAATATCCACTCACATGAGTGACTGGCAATAAGATTGGTAGTCATTGCAAAGGGGAAATAAAAACAAAACAGGTAGTCTACTCTTGGTTTGGGGAGGACTTGGGGGGATACCCAAATCTCAACAGACAACCCAATTTGGCCATGTCCTTTTGGGGAGCAAATTGCCGGTGCCAATGATGTCCAAACGCACCCCAAGTACAAAGACATGCCCATATTACACCCCCTCCGCTTTGAGATATGTGTGTGTAGATCAAAAGACACTCAAAACTTTCAAGGCTCTGGCTGGGTCGCTCGTTTCGCCTCCAAACTTTCGACCCTGATTCCCAGGGGCCAATGCCTAGCCTTGTGCCGATCAGGTTTCGTCCGAACAAACCGATCGGGGCCAGTTCAGGGCTTCTTGCCAATGGAATTGAATTTCAATGGGAACCGGGCCAGTTGTTCAGGTTCCTCAATCATGTCCGCCGAGGGCTCCCCAAATAAAAAGAATCACCCCACGGGATATGGATGGTATGCGAATGAGCCAGTTGCGGTTTCTCAGTACATCCCTGCTGCATTGAGACGGGTGACTTGCTCCTTTCAGGCATGCAGGCCACGAACGCGATGGACGTCAAAGGCCGGAGCCGCAAGGAGTGAGAAGAGGATCCAAATAGCCATGGTGAAATGGAGGCACCCCATCAAAAGGTTAGTTCCCCTTTGGTTTCCTCTAAAGCCAAGCTGAGATAGGGTGACGTCAGTAGCCATTTCAGCAAAGTCATTAGCAGTTGGGCCATGCGCGGAAATTCCAAAGTGATATTTTCATTCGTAGGACTACTTGAACCTCCTTCAAAGGAGGACTCGGCAAGGGTACTACAGAACATGGCCTGCAGGCCCCTTTCTTTGCCGCGCTTCAGGGGATGGGGTCGGACAGGTGGACTCCTGAGTGAGTGTTCCTTTGAGAAGCACGTCCCCGAAAACCAACCACCCACCAAACTCAGCAGCGCCCCCCAAACAACACCCCCTTGGAAAGACAATACAAAATTAGGTGAACATCGAAGGTGTGTGTGTGTGTGTGGGTGTGTGCGTGTGTGCGTGTGTGCGTGTGTGCGTGTGTGGGTGTGGGTGTGTGGTTGGGGGATAGAAGAGGTTCTTGACTTTTGCTCTCACAAAAACTCGGGAGAGGAAGACTTTGGGGGCCCCGTGTTTTGAGTAGCCGATATCTCATTGCGCACTCAGAGTGTGGTGTAAATAAGTTAGACGTTGGAGCAATTGTAGGTCAGTTTATTTGGTACACGTGCAGCAGTGAAGGAACAAGCAGAATCATTAGGAGCACTTTGTTTATTTGTTGATGTGAAAGAATCAGGTGAAGGTGCTGGTGGATATGGCAGTTACGGGGTTGTATTCCACTTGGGTCTGTCATTTTGGGGGGCCCCAAAAACGGCAGTTTTCCTTCTGGTTTCCCTTTTAAGTCCGGCGATTGTACGAGCACTTCCACAGCTGTACAACGAGCTCGGCATGAAGGTCCCGAGATAAAATCAGATCTTATTTCAGGCGTGAAGCAATTGTTGTAAGACTGATCCAAACCCTCGCTTCCATCAAACCAACTTAACAGCTGCTCACTTTTGAAGGGGAACAGCCCCTATCTCTTAACAAACTGGGGTTGATTAGTATGGGATTGTTTTGTTTCATTAGTATGGGGTTGATTAGTATGGGTTGATTGGTATGGGATCGACATTTTGTTTTGTTTCCTGGCCCGGTCAGCCAGTCCTTCCGAAGCTTCGCTCCGGCCAGGCTGTGCCCATGTTCGGAGCCCGAAGCACCGAAGGGGCAAAGAGTTGAGGTGAATGGAATCTGTTTAGATGTTTCTTTTGTTTGGTTTCCTCCAAAGCATGCGTGTTTTTGTATGTGTTTCACACAACAACAAAAACACCACGTAAAAAAAACCAAAAAAAACACAATCATAAAACACCCCAGAGTCAGAAAGTATTATTCTTCGGTGTACCCCAGATGCGGGCCAAGTTGTAGTGTACCACACAGCCGATGGATCGCCACATTGTGCCCTTGATATTCTGCATATGGGTGCGTTGTGTTCAAGCCCTCCTCTGTGGGGCTGTTTTTTTAACGGTCAAAAGGGACGCCAAGCCTTTTGGATCCCGTTTCGTCTCCCAATGGCGGAGCGGTTCCCGCTTGGTTTCCCTGAAAACACGGGGCGCTCTCAAAAAAGACACGCCAATTCCAGGCCACCTGGAAGCGATCAACCGCCAAATGCAAGATGTTTGAATTTGTCCAAGTCCTTGGTGAACCATGGCATCAGTGGCGGATATGATTTCATGGTTGTTGCCCCATTTGCCTAAGGCTTACGAGGTAATATGAATGGCAACATGGCATGTTGGCCGGGGGTGAAGCAAGCCGTTGGGGTAATGAGCAAGCCGCCGACTCGGTGCTGAGATCTCCATCCTGCGGATTCGATCACCTCTTCATACTGAGAAAGACTCGTGAAGTCGGAATCATATGTCGGAATCATTTGCCAGGGCCATCTATTTTTTCAAAAGGCTACCTATAGTCGGGATTTCCGGAAGCACGCGGTTTGAGACGACAATACTCGGGACTTGCATCATACTCTTACAGATCATTTTCGGGTGAGGTCGAGGCGGCCGATTGCAAGCAGTGTAAAGCAGCGCTGAAAAAGGACGAATTCAAATGAAGACGAAGGTATGGCAAACATGAAGCCCGGGCATGTGCACTACTGTTAACGTCGGATTCATCCAGAGGACGCTAACTTCGAGCTGAACCCGTAAATGAGACCCGTTTGCTTGTCAGGGAACTTGTCCAACTTCCCATCGTCAGCTTCCATGAGTTTTGGGAGGGAGATCTCTTGATGTTCGCCCCCTGTCAGGACTGCCAAACATTGGGCTCCGCCAAACTATTTGTATGTTTTAGGGTGGGCTAAGTATGGAACAAAGTTAGGTGGACATATTAGGGTGAAGATATTCACTTCTGTCAACCTCAGGTGGTCCGAACATTTTTTTAGGGTGGTCAGAACATATTCTTTCTGTGAACCTCAGGTGTAGGCCCAGCTGACTTTCTGCCAAACACAGTGGTGACCACGCGCCAAGGTCGCACCAGGTGGACACCGACACGGAGAAGCTTTACGCCCAGGCGTGAAGGGCTTCTTATCAAGGTTCTCCAATACTCACGCAGGATGCGAGCCCGAGCAATGTCCCCCAATTCGACGCGCTGATTCTGAGCAAGTTGCCTTTTTCAGGCGTCCACCCGGAACTTGACCCGAACGGTTCACGTGAGTTGTGCGTTCTGTTGGTGAGGCACGAGCCTTCAAAAGGCTCCGACCCCCATTTTACAAAGTGCAGGCAAAATTATTTTGAGGCCAACATGGGTGGCTGTCAAACTACGAGCCTCTTTGGAGCGTAGTGCCAGTCCAGCCCTCAAGAATATGCGTCTAGTAGAGCACTCTGTTTCAATGGCTTCTATGAGAAATCAAGAGAAATCCGCGGTCCATTTTGCGGGTTTGGTTCCCCATTGAGGGCAAGCCCAGAAATGAACCACAAAAAGGAACAAGTCGCCGTGCCCTCAAGGGCAAACTCGCTTTTTTAAAGCCGCCACATGGGGACCTTTACTTGTTGATCCCCACCGTTGCTATCTTCTTCGGAATTTCAGCTTTTTGCAGCGGCATGTTGTTTTTGGTGTCACGGATACTTACAAAGAGTTTATCCTTAGACGGGGGGGGCGGAGGGTGGGGGGATGTTAACGCTCGCCGACACCTTGTTTTCTGGCCTTTCGGGGGTGGGGTGGGGGGGTCGGGTGGGGTGGGGGGGATGTCAACGTTCGCTGACACTTCACTTGGCTTTTGGTGACGCATGATCGCACACTAGCCGAAGATGTGGTTCTTTATTCCGGTAGTGAACTTAGCCCTAGTTTATGCTCCTCTCCTTTTTTGAGGATTTGCCATGCTCCTGGTCCCATTGGCTTAGCTTGCAGCCGCTGTGCACGTTGGATGCTTATTTGTCTGCTTGGGCTGAACTCGATCTGGGAGATGCAGCACCTGGATTCCTGGCCGAAAACTATCTGAGTTTGGTTCCTGGTTTCAGCGGTCACTACTCAAAAGTCTTGCTTCAGTTTGAGAAAACTTGGGAGCAGCGACATCTTCGGGTGCAGGGGAGCTCTGTTGTTGGCTGCCATCAGAACCCGCTGGGCTGTGTCTCTGCGCAAGTCTCTTGCTCGCGTGGCTTACTTCCTCTTGTACACCCGACCGCTCGGAGTGACTGAGCGCGGAACCCGAAGCTTTGCCGGCTTAACGACTTTGGGCTTTGCCTAACTTCACCCCTTTTGAAAAGGCTCTGGGCTTGCTTGACCCGTGGTTTTTCTAAGGGCCAACTTTTGCCCAATTTAGCCCCTCGCGGTGTCACGGTGTCAGCTTTTGAAAAGGAAAGCTGCTGGTGGCGCGGCGCATCTCGCATTGGTGCCGCCGCGGGCAAAGCAGCCTCCGCGAGAACTCGGCAGAGATCTGTGCCTCCAACCTTCTGCTCTGCTGCGCTGCAAGAAGAACACAGTTCTCATGAGTAACGGCTGCCGTGAGTGGAAGACGGCGCCTGTGCGCTACAAGCGCAAGCGATTCAGTGTGAGGACAGTGTCTCACGCGAAGTGAGTTCACAAGCCTTGCCGCGTCAAGGGCAAGCCGAGGGTGGGGAACCTAGCAGCTGGATGTGGGTCAATCGGTTCATCAGCCCGCAGTGAGATGTGGCGCGCTGGAAGTGCCAGGCAGGTGAGGTGCCATGTGATATCCCGCTGGCAGGGAGTGCTCGATGTAGCATGCACTTGCGGAACGCACGAGTCCTGACAATCCGTGTTACCTTGTGTCTGTAACCACCCCCGGTTTTACAAATATTGGGCACCACGCATGTATGAGTTTTGCAACGACACCCGGTTTTCAACCTAACCTGGTTTTGGGACGCTTTTTTGGGGGTCCAAGAGCAGCTTGGGTTGAAGCAGGCACAGGCGAATCCTCTCTGCGAGTTTGGGAGTTACACATGGGAACCTGCTCCATGGCTCAGGTCTCCGCGCAGCGCGCGGAGCTCCACGAGCTCTTCCAGGCTCGGGGGTTCGATTTGACATTGCCGCTCAAGAATTCCTGATGGGCAAAGTAGAGAGATTTGCGCGTGCGCGAGTGGCTGGTTGGCGCCCAACCTGATGGCCCTCGTTTTTGGTGGGTTTTAACGGAACCAAGGAAACGACCTATTTTGGGTTGGTCATGGCGGAAATCATTGAGAGTGGCGGACTCATAGCCGCTCATGACTATGGTCAGACTTTCATGGCCACCTTGTAAGGGCAAGCGCAGGGAACCCACCCCATTTTTGTTTGGGATTTTACAACGCAGAATGAAGATGATGAGCTTTAAAAGTCTGCGGGCCTCCCCTTTTGTGGGGTCTGCTGAGAAAATGTTTGTATGTTCAGGTTGACCAAAGGCCATCAGCTATTCAGACCCTGTAGTTTTGCCCACTTCCCAGGCGACTGGACGAATGCGTGCACGCAATTGCCGAAAAGAGGCAACATAAATGCTTCAAAGGGCCTGCTCAGAGATTGTTAATCCTAGTGTAATACTTTGATTTTGAATGGTCAATGTGTTTGGATGGTTTTCAAGGGACGCAAGTTGGGTGGGTCGGATCGCTTTGGCTGTGGCGCGGTGCGAATTTTGAGCGTCGAAAGTGAACTGCCTGGACTTTGGGCGGGTCGGATCGCTCTTGCTCTGCCGCAGTGCGAATTCTCAACGTTGAAAGTCAACCTTCTGCGGACTTTGGGCAGGTGGGATGGCTCTCGCTGCGGAGCGGCGCGAACTGTGAACATCGAAAGCGGGCCCTCTACGGACTTTGGGTGGGTCGGACCGCTCTCATTGCGGCATCGCGCGAAAGTCGAAAATGAAATATGACTTTGGGTGGTCGGATCGCCCTCGTTGTGGCGCGGCGCAAATTACAACCATCAAAGTACAAAACCAGCAAAGATACTCTTGCAAGAGATCTCATGGATCGTGACAGGAAACTTCCATATGTAGAAGATCTTGTCACTGTCATGGATCCTCCTACCAAGAGATTCTACCAAGAGATCCTGCTTAGAGATCATGCGCGCACCTGCCAGGAGATTCTTTAGGAGATCTTGCGCCGAGATACTGTAGAAATCCTTCAAAAAGACTTGCGCAGGACCTGGAATATTTTCCTCTAACTGGATGCTCCTTCGAAATCTTGAGCAGAGAAACTGTATATAAATGATCCTCTCATGGATCCTGCGCACAAATCTTGCCAAGAGACCCTAACCAGACATCTTGCGCAGAGATTTTGCAAAGATTCTGCAAAGGGCCTCCCACAGATATTTCGCGCTGGTCCTTCGTAGAGAGGATCCTCTTAAGAGGTCTCGGCAGACCCTCTCAAGGATTCTGTGCACAAATCTTGCCAAAACATTCTACCAAGAGATGATCCTTTAAAAACCACAGATACCTTGCCACTGGTCCTTTTAGAGGTCTTGCGCAGCATTTGCAAAGTTTTCCTGTCAAGAGGTCTTGTAGAGGGTGCTCCATCTTGAAGGCAGCCAGAAGAGCCTTCCTACGCCATGAAGGTGGATGTTCACTTGCCCAGTGGCGAGGGTTTCTCCGTAGAAGTCTCACTAGCTACGACCATCGGTGATCTGAAGGCTGTAGCGCAGCAGCATTTCCGGCATCGACTGAAGCTCACTGCGAAAGGCCGGCAGCTCAATTTGACGGCCACACTGAGTGAGGTTGGGTTGCGAGATGGGGACATGGTAACTGCGGTTGTGCAGCTGGGCACACTTGCCGCCACCGACGGAGCATTTGCTTTGCATGGCCGCGAAGGCAGGATTGTGACGTGGGGTCATCCAAGCTACGGCGGATACAGCCGGGTGCAAGAGCAGCTCAAGAACGTCCGGCAAATCCAAGCAGCTGGCTGTGCTTTTGCTGCCATTCTTGAATCTGGGGCTGTTGTGACCTGGGGTCATCCAGAGGAAGGTGGAGACAGCCGCCAGGTGCAAGAGCAGCTGAGGAACGTCCAGCACATTCAAACAAATGGCAATGCGTTTGCTGCCATTCTTGAATCTGGGGCGGTTGTGACCTGGGGTCATCCAGAAAATGGCGGCGACAGCAGCCAGGTGCAAGAGCAGCTGAGGAACGTCCAGCACATCCAAGCAACGGGCGGTGCTTTTGCTGCCATTCTGGAATCTGGGGCGGTTGTGACCTGGGGTCAGCCGGAACAGGGCGGAGACAGCAGCCAGGTAAAGAGCAACTGAGGAACGTCCAGTACATTCAAGCAACTCAGTGTGCGTTTGCTGCCATTCTTGAATCTGGGGCGGTTGTGACCTGGGGTCAGCCGGAATATGGCGGAGACAGCAGCCAAGTGCGAGAGCAGCTGAGGAACGTGCATCACATTCAAGCGACGGGCGATGCTTTTGCCGCCATTCTTGAATCTGGGGCTGTTGTGACCTGGGGTCAGCCGGAAAGGGGCGGAGACAGCAGCCAGGTACAAGAGCAGCTGAGGCACGTCCAGTACATCCAAGCAACTGGCTTTGCTTTTGCCGCCGTTCTTGAATCTGGGGCTGTTGTGACCTGGGGTGAGCCGGAATATGGTGGAGATAGCAGCCAGGTACAAGAGCAACTGTGGAACGTCCAGCACGTCCAAGCAACTGGCTTTGCTTTTGCTGCCATTTTGGAATCTGGGGTGGTTGTGACCTGGGGTGCTTCAGACTGGGGCGGAGACAGCAGCCACGTGCAAGAGCAGCTGAGGAACGTCCAGCACGTCCAAGCAACTAGCTTTGCTTTTGCTGCCATTCTTGAATCTGGGGCGGTTGTGACCTGGGGTCAGCCGCACTATGGCGGAGACAGCAGCCAGGTCCAAGAACAGCTGAGGAGCGTCCGCCACATCCAATCCACTGGCCGGGCTTTTGCTGCTATGCTTGAATATGGGGCTGTTGTAACCTGGGGCGATCCACAATTTGGAGGAGACAGCCACCAGGTGCAAGAGCAGCTGAGCTTGGATGCACAAGGCAACGATGCACACAAGAAAAAGATGTGGGTTTCATCAACAGTCAATATTTCCCATCAGCTACTGCCATGCGGGTCTGGCTCTTTTGAGTCGATGCCCTTTTTGGAGTCGTTTAAAAGGGAAGCCCAAAGGAACCCGCTGAGCAAGATCTGGAGGAACGGCGGAAAGACATGAAAGGGGAGCCAAAAGCAAGCCATTCATTCCCCGAATTGGAAGCCCCACATTCCAGAACAACGCCCATGGGCCTGGAATTCCGGGCAAGGCGAATGACTTCCATCGTCTTGAAGGCGCCTGGGCGTGGCGACAGTTTGTGAGTGAGAAAGCCAGTTGGCTCATGGACCAATTGTGGCCCTCCCATGAGTGTTTGCTATTTGTGATTTGTACCATGGCTTGGGCTCACTCAACCGCGCCGTGGAGTTTTCCTATCGGGCCAGATCCCTGTGGCACGATGAGCAAGCCGCAGATGTGTTTTGCTCATGGACGGCTTATTGCGGGCTTACCTGATCAGTGTTCAATTTGTAAGCTTTTGTTGCCAGCTCGGGGAGAGGAGTTTGATCCCTTTGCATTCCATGAGTTCTATCTTTTTTCCCGCGGGAAGAGTCGATGGAAGTTTCTTGAAAAAGACCCCATCCGCTCCGCGCCGATCTTCCGCAGTGGGGGGACCTTGGTGGCTCCCAGCCATCCCCTTAGCTTTGTAGTCTTTTAGTGTTTAGTGGGGATTTGCATGTAACCCACTAAAAGTTAAACTTTTAGCAGGGGATCTGAGGATAGCCCAGGAACCGTTTTGCCCTTTACCATTTCAGGGGGTCCTTCATTTTCCCCACGAGCAAACCTTACTCGGCCCGGTTCGCAGGGGAACCCGGACGTCGTGGGTTCGGTGAGCGTGCAGAATCAGACTAAGTCTTTGATTTGGCTCAGGTTGCGACTACTGCTGTGTGCGGTTCAGTAGATCGAAGGGAGGTGCTGAGAGATCCGAAGAGGATGCGGGATCTTTCCGGGATACTCTGCGGACCCAGACAACAACCATAATTGCTGTCACCACAAAGAATCTGCAAGGTCGACGCACGGAATCGTCCAACGCGTTCCTTCACATTGCAGATCACACTTCATCACCAACATTTGATTCATCAGGGAGGCGGCTGGCCATGCCTGTTTTTTTTTTGACTCTGCGGGATATCTTGAGTGTTTTCTCATATGGGAACACTAACATGGGTTAGTTATATCTATTTCCTTTTGGGTTGCCCGAAAGGGAAAACACAAAAAAGCAGCAAACCGGGGGAAAACCGGGAAACAAACAAGACACACGCACACAAAACACGCAAAAAGGGCCGGGTAGGTTGCAGGTTGCTTCTCACCTTTCAAGGCCGTGCCGGCCTCGGGGCGGCCGGAGAGCGCAGCCTGCTGATGGAGCAGCCTGCTGATGTGCAAATCAGGGTGAGGTTTGGTCCATGTCGTGTTTCTTTTTTTCCTTCAATTTACCTCCTAGTGGGCTTGGATGGGTGGTTTGGCATGTCAACCCCTGATTTGTGAAAAACCACCAACAGGGAAAGCGATATGTGTCGAATAGTCTATGGAGCATTTGGAAGGGACATGAAGAAATCTCTAAATTCCCCCCAACTCCCCCCCCCCCCCTCCCCCAAAAGAAGGGGACGTGCTATTGCTCCAATGTTGTGTAGAGTAACGGTTATCCGTGGCTCACGCGGGTTCGAAGGTTGGCCTTGCCTTCCAGCCTTGGGGTCAGAACACGAGGGTTCCATCATGTTTGTTGATGGGAGGGACACGGGCCCCTTTATCGAAATTTAACAATTGTCAGGCATCCTCATGAGGATGAATTGGAACCGCCGGATTGTGCACGTGCCCGATCCCTTTGCTGGCAGTGAATCTTCTTTGTCCATTGCTGTGGTCGTAAGCGGCTCTCTGCAAAGGGCACTCCCAAAGCAGGTTGGGATCTGGTGCAACCCCATACATGAAATCATAAATGAAATCAGAGAGCACTTGAAGGGTCGGAACAGCGGGAGTGCCTCTGATTACTTTTGGAAGAACAGCCAACCCGTCCCAACACCCAGCGGGAAAATCGTGAGCCTCCACATCTCTTGCGTCGCTTTTCACAGGGACGAGAGTTCATTGGGCGAAGATTGCGAAGCTTTCTCCGCTCCGATTGGACGAAAGGGAGGGCTTTTCCGGATGGGAAAACTCCATTCCCCAGCGATGGGCTCAAAAAGTCTTGTGATTGGCTGATAAAGAACTTCTTCCGGGCCCAAAGCTCCCATTCTCATGATTGGCTTTTCCCTTGAGCCCGAAACCAGGGCGACGGGAACTCCCGTTAGCGGCCGCAGGAGCGCGGCCGCTTGCAGCAGCGGGTCGCGGATCTCGAGCACCAGGCGACGACAAAAGAGGTCTTTGAGCAGCTGCGATGTTGCCAGGTCCATGGTGCCCCCCCCCCAAAAAAAAACTAAAACAACTGGGGTAGACTTAGGATACATTTTACATTTTAGCAGTGACTCAAGGTGAAGCAAACAACAAAAAATACATTCTATAACTGGGCCTAACTCTAATCATGAAACAAGGAGAAGTGGTCTTCCTCTTGGTTTCCCTTTTCGCGCCACAAGAAAGGGTACCCTCAAGACAGACCCCGTATAAGGGGCTAGGCATTGATTCTTAGTACCTATGACAGAGTAGTCATGGGTATCATAGGGATGGGGATCCCACTTTGAACATCACAGGGCGCAGATCATCGCAAGTGAGCCACGCCATACGAGGAATTTGCGCCTGGGGTTCGACATGAAAACCGTTTCCCTTGGAGGCCTGGTGGTTTCAACTCGTCCAGTGAGACATCTAGAGGTCACGTCGGCTTGTCACATCTTCAAGCCTTTGCGGCCCAAGTCGGCCCGGTGTTGCGGATCCAGCGTACTTCATTGACAGCATGCGTTGGGCCACGAGTGGCTCCAGTGGGCATGTTGCGAGGGCAGCTCCTTCGGCGAAGCTGAGGATAGAAAATTGGCCACTAGTTTTCTCTGGTTCCAGTTCTTATCTAATCATTTGCCAGGAGCTCCTCCAACAGCGGGTGGTTCCGCTTTAGGTTTTTCAAACCACCACTACCGGCTCGATCATTTGCCGAAATGCGCTTGGAGTTAGCCCCCAGACTGTAAAACATGATAAGGACGTAACCCCGCTGGCAACCATTAGTCCGTTCGGGAGCCTAAGAAGTGGCTGTTTTCCGCTGCTAAACCAGGGAGACCCGTTTTTCAAGTTCAGAAACAGCCCAATTCCATGGTGCCTTGGTTTCGGGCATGGGGTCTTGAGGCTTCGTGTCTTTCCCAGCTGGGTCAATTCGCCGATCCCGCGTGTGGGCAGCGGGGCGCGGTGTTGGACAGGTGCGGGAAGCGCGAGGCGCGGGCCGCCGCCGGGTGTCTCCCCGGCCGCGCCTTTCGCTTGCCTTTCGGCGGGCGATGATTTGCAAGCCATACAGACGAGTCGTTTTTTGCTGTCCCCCCAGCGAAAAAAAAACACCAAGCTAAGCAAGGGCGCTCGAAGTGAAGGGACGCAGGCCATTGATTTGTTTCAGCCCTGCCCACTCATCCCCGTTCACACCATTTGGCTGTGGGTCAAAACCGTTTGGGATCCCATTTTGGGGGTTTTCGGTGCACCACCCATGTTAGTCAATGTTAGTGGGTTCTCTAAGGATACGGTTTGGATTTTGGCCCACGGCCATTTGCGACCTCGAGACGGCCGGCCCGGCCAGGCAGCGACCCTGCCTGGGAGCTGTGCGAGCGGCGGGGGGGCCCAACAGCAAAGGCACCCGGGGAGCAGTTTCCTTCAGAGGCTCCGGAGGCTAAGGGAGTGAAAAAGTATGCTGGACAATTGGATAGATAGAAGGGTGCTTTCAGAAAGGGTTCATAGACGTCCCAGGACCCTGCAGACAACGAAAATGCTTTTTTTCCCCCAATTTCATCCTGACTGCCCACTTTAGCAGCGCTAGCAGGTTGGCGGGTTCAGCCTTGGTTTGTGGGTGAGTTAGGGTCGCTTCCCTCGCGCGAATCGACCTCTTGGCCTGGGAACGGAAGAGACTTTTGGTTGATAGGTGTCACATGTGAAAACAAATGGATCACTGATGGAGAACCACCCCCTGAAAAACAAAAACATCCTTTTCCGTTCAGGAATCCTCCAATTGGGTATGACCTATCCCAACATCAGCTTGCGTTTCGATGTGCAAAGGTAACCAAAAGGAAATCACAAGCCCGAGAATCCTGGCCTTTGGACATATTTTTTTCGTTTGGTGGTGCCTGTGTTGCCACAGTTGCCCCGATGGCGCACCAAGGTTGGCAGCGTTTCGCGCAAAGTGCCTGACGGCCGCGGAAAGAAGGGAGATGAAGGGAGCACTCGGAGTCTGCGAAGGTTTACTCTCTGGCAAGTTGACATGGAACCCCCAAAGCCATCATAGAGGAACCTCCTTAAAAGGAAACTCCTTGGTTCCACGTTGCCAACCTTCTTAGTGAATGGGTTTTTACCGCCCTTTTTTCTTGGAACAACACACGTACAGTGGGAGCACAGAGGGATTTGCCAGCTTATCAGCATGGTTCCAGTCGCTTTAAACAAACAAAAATCTGTAGCCAAGATAATGTCATGCGAGAGAAGGGCTTTAGGCAAAACCCCTCAGCAGCCCACAGGCCTTGTCTCCGAAGCTCCTGTGGCTCAAGCTTGCACGGCAAGATGCAGTGGGGCAAGGCGGGAGCTGAAAGCCCAGTCGAGCTGGATGTGTTTGCGCCTGTCTCAAATGGCCATGGGGCATAACCTATGGCTCCATTTTGGGGTGGATGCATTTGCCACCTATTTTCATGTTCACCAGGGGTACAGGGTTTTGACCCACAGCTGTTTGGTTGGCTTGGTTACCTGGTTGGGTGTTAAGGGACACCCAGCACATTTTTGTGATTTTGTGTGTCCTTCATTTTGAGACGCCCACATAGGGCGACCCGTTTTCTTTTGGTTGCCAAAAGGACCAACCAGCGGGAGGGTTCCCTAACTTTGAGAAACAGCCATGGATTCCTTTCAGTATTTCAAAAAAGCCGAGAGGGGGTTTTGGGGGTCCGTTCAGAGATTTGGTCTTAGCCATTCCCTCGAGATCGATTCCTTTGGGTGGGATCGATTCCGCGGCAGTGGGGATGGCTTCACCATCCAAGCTGTGATTCCAGTGGTCTGAAGCGGTTGTGGATATATAAATGTGGCCGATTCACATCCAAACGTGCACCGCGTCTTCCCCCCAAATGAATGTTCAAGTCTGGTTGGCTGGGCCATATTGGACCAACTTGAACTGATATCATTGGGCCAACTTGGACGGTCTTTTCATGGCTGTTCCTATTGTCTTTCTGGTTGGTACAAGCTGAAATAATTTTCCTGGACCAACTTCAGTTGTATGGTTCCCCTTGCATGGGAACTGCTTGCTCCAAAGCGACAACGCCACAAACCAAGACTTGGCGATTCAACTCCTTGTTCAAACCAAGACTTGGCGCTTCAACTCTTTGTTCCACCTCGTTTAGACTACTTGTTTCAACAACATCCTCTTGGTTTCCGTTCAAACGAGAACCAGGGGTTGGTTCGTTGTTTAAACACAAACACAGACACAGACACATATACAGACACAGATACGCACACCCGCACCCACACCCACAGACACACACACACACACCCAAACCCACCCATACACACACAGAGACACAAATACACAGAAACAAACACAGACATAGACACAGACACAGACACACACAGACACACAGACACACAGACACACAGACACACAGACACACAGACACACAGACACACAGACACACAGACACACCGAGACAGACACAGACACAGACACGGACCACAAGACACAGACACAGGACACAGACACAGACACAGACACAGACACAGACTCAGACACGCACACCCACACCCACACCCACACACACACACACACCCAAACCCACTCATACACACACACACACAGAGACGCAAAGACACAGAAACAGACACAGACACAGACACACGCACACAGACACACAGACACACAGACACACAGACACACAGACACACAGACACACAGACACACAGACACAGAGACACGCAGACACACAGACACACAGAGACACAGACACACAGACACGCAGACACACAGACACACAGACACACAGACACACAGACACACAGACACACAGACACACACAGACTCACAGACACACAGACACACCTACACACAGACACAGACACACAGACACGCAGACACGCAGACACGCAGGCACACAGGCACACAGGCACACAGGCACACACGCACACAGACACACAGAAAAAACAGACACACAGAGACACAGAGACACAGAGACGCAGACACACAGACGCACAGACACAGACACACAGACACTCAGACACCCAGACACTCAGACACACAGACACGCAGACACACAGACACAGAGACACGCAGACACACAGACACACAGAGACACAGACACGCAGACACACAGACACACAGACACACAGGCACACAGACACACAGACACGCAGACACGCAGACACGCAGACACGCAGACACGCAGACACACAGACACACAGACACACAGACACACAGACACACAGACACACAGACACACAGACACACAGACACACAGACACACAGACACACAGACTCACAGACGCACAGAGACACAGACACAAGACCCAGACCCAGGACACAGGACACAGACACAGACACGCACACCCACACCCACGCCTGCACCCACACCCACACACAGAGAGACAAAGAGACACAAAGAGACACAAAGAGACACAAAGAGACAGACACACAGACACACAGACACACAGACACACAAACACACAGACACGCAGACACACAGACACAGAGTGACACAGACACAGACACGGTTGTGTGTGTGTGTGTCTGTGTCTGTGTCTGTGTCTGTGTCTGTGTCTGTGTCTGCGTCTGCGTCTGCGTCTGCGTCTGTGTCTGTGTCTGTGTCTGTGTCTGTGTCTGTGTCTGTGTCTGTGTCTGTCTCTGTGTCTGCGTCTGCGTCTGCGTCTGCGTCTGTGTCTGTGTCTGTGTCTGTGTCTGTGTCTGTGTCTGTGTCTGTGTCTGTGTCTGTCTCTGTGTGTGTGTGTCTGCGTCTGCGTCTGTGTCTGTGTCTGTGTCTGTGTCTGTGTCTGTGTCTGTGTCTCTGTCTGTGTCTGTGTCTGTCTCTGTGTGTGTGTGTCTCTGTCTGTGTGTGTGTCTCTCTGTGTGTGAGTGTGCGCGTGCGCGCGTTCCCGTGTGAGCGCGTGTGCGCGTGCACGCGCGCGTGCGTTCGTGCATGCATGCGTGCGTGCGTGGGTGTGTGTGTGTGTGTGTGTCAGAGTAGCGCACCCCTCCAGAAAAGCGAATAAACATAGAATGGCGGCCTGCCTCTTTTTGGGGCATTCCAATCAGCCGCCCCTCCAGCGGTGAGGTAGTCTCTCAGAAGGCTGTGCCGGCAAAGGGGTCCACACCCATTGGCATCGAGGCGCGGAGATGAGTCTTGGGCGATTTGCGGTTTTGACCCCAGTTTGGCCCTTGTTTGACCCCCAGTTTTTGGGTGATTAGCCCCTTGTTTGACCCTTCACCTCGAAAGAGACCAGCTCCCTCCAAAAGATTCCGCCCAGGTCTCCGAGCTGCCGTCCGGAGCCGCCCGCGAGCGGAACCTCGAGGAAGGCGGGGCGGAACAGGATTCCCGGCTTTGCACTGTCCCACATCAATCGGCCAGTTCAGGTGAGGTTCACTACGCGGGAGGTTTGAAGGGGACATGTGGAGAATCCGTTTTTTTTTTTTGCGGCTCAGAACAACAACACATGGAACTGCGAGCAGTTGGAGCAAGGATTTGCCGGTCATCTGAGCAAGTGACAAGATTGCCGGTAGTCTATTGTTAGTGTGTGGAGGACATGGGGAGGGCCAACATTTCCCAGCAACATTCTTTTCCCATGCCATCCTGGAGACACAGGTACACAGCTAATCTTGTCCTCGGCTCACCTGGATGATGTGTGCATGCGAATAATAAGAAGTGGACAAGGCAACTGGTGCTCTGAATGGGGCCCATAGAACTGGCGGCCAAGACGCGTTTTGTTTTAGTCGCGTGAATTTCCGGGTTGACCAAAGGGATGTTTGTTTTGGGACGAGTTTTCCAGGTATCAAGAGCCTGTACCAGACCTGCCAGCTGCCACTCGGCGCGAAGTCGACGCACCAAATCGGCAGTGGACGCGGAAGAACACCCCGAAATCCCAACTGAAGGGGATTAATCAGGTGGCTGTGGGTCAAAACCAATGGTACCATTTTAGGGTAAATACACCACCCATTTTAGTCTATTTTAGTGGGGATTTCACTGGGGGTACGGGATTTTGATGCATGGTCAGGTAACCCTGAACTGGTGGTTTGGATTGGTGGCTTGGGGATTGAAACCCCTGGTCCTTGCAGACGCTAGATGGGAAACTTCTCCTTCACCCCCACCAAGAGGGAAGTTGAATTATTTTTGGTCCATTCAGTTGCTCCCATGGCGCGACTAGGCCAGAACTTTTCGTGCACCGTTTCCCGAAATCCCGCAATCCCCAGGTGCCTGGGGATTTCGGAGCCCTGCCAAAGGGTTCCCCAGAGCTCACCTTTTGCACACCTTCAATGGCCCGTTTGTTTTCTTTTTCTTTTTTTGGCGCAGCGAGAAGGGTCCATGGCTAGGTCCAGGCCAGTAACATTCGGGCTTTTGGACCTGCAAGGAGCGAAGAGTTTTCTTTAAACAGCGTGAAACACACAAGTCAAAGAATCAGAGCTTACGCCGAAGACCAATGGCCACAGCAGGACCAAGCGAGTCCGCGCGACAGCTCGTCCACCTCTCGTCCAGCATCGACGGATCCACAGGGATGCTTTTACCTGGCGTGTTCACAAGACATTCGGATTGTCCTTGTGTCAGATGGTAGTAGTTTGCATGTGGTGGTGGTGCCCAACTACAGATTATGGCCATTTGGGACAATGCTTGATGTTCATACCATGGCCTCTAAGGGGTATGCAGTATACGGCCTGTGCAAAGCAAGGAGCCGATTTGAACAAGGGATGTGAGCTACCTCGATCCAAGGTATGACCTGAACCTTGTGGTTGGCAAGACGCGGCTGCCTGCGCACAAGGCGACTCATGTTTGAGGTTCGAGGGGCCACCTTGATAAAGCTCCTTTGTCCACTTTTAGCTTTAGGTTTGTTGCACAAAGTGTCGCGCAGGGTGGCTGTCGTGATTTTGGAGACTGGGATTGTGTGGAGCAGTCGATCATCCATGTCATCAGTATGATTGATGCTCGAAGCCAGACTCTTGTTTTTCTATCTCGATAGTTTTCAGTCGGGAAGGAAATATCGGAGGGCGGACACTTAGGAGCTATTTAAGGAGCTGAAGATCATGTTGGTTGGGGGCGTTCCGTCTTCTCTGCCAAGAGGCAGTGAGTGATCTATTGTTGCTGCTGTTGTTAGTGCGGTTTTGGCTAATGTGAGAGAAACCATGCCTCAGTCAGCAGTTCAACCCCACGCCCTGGTGGCTCCTTGATGGACAGTTCCAGAGGAGTCTTCCAGGGTTCGTAGGAAGCTCACTCCCTGATTTCCTCTTATTTTTTCTGGGGCTTGCCCCAGGCAAATCGGCCTTCGACCTTCCTCTTTTTAGCCCATTTTGTGTCATGGCCCCCAAAGGTGAAGCGCTGAGATTTGGGTCCTTTGGGCAACTGAGACGATGTTAGCGGCAAACATACCGTTTGGACTTCATGGGCCAGTCCACTGAACAAACCAGGTTTTGGCATCCATGTTTCTGTGCCGAGGGAGTCCCGAACCATTTTTTTTTTATTCCGCAAAGGTGTGTGTGTGTGTGTGTGTCGTGGCCAACTCACCAGCAAAAAAATAAGCCGCTTGTTGTCGCAGATAGCCGCAAAGCCTCGAACGTGACAAAATCGTAATTGTGGGATGCCATCCCCACACAAAAGCTGATTAACATCCCAGGTAGAATTATTGGCTTACAGATTTCCTTTGTCCTGTCATCACGGCAACCCCTTCCAAGCAAAACTTGCGGCAGAGCTCTTGACAGATCGGTCGTTGGGGACCTATCCGTGGTTGCCTTTTTCTTTAAGCATCGACCGATGGGGGCCAAGAAAATGTGAGTGTCCGTTTTTTTGAGTGATGTGTGAGGAATGTAGAAAATGCCCCGGCGGTTCAGCCCAAATAGACTAAGGGCGATATCATTCTGTCAAATGCCGATAGAGGGGCGCGTGTCCCTCCCATCAGCCTACATGGCGTTGGAGCTTGAAAAGGGCTACGGAAGACAGCAAAAGCCAACTCGAAATTGCGGGCGGCAGAATCGAAGGCCGAAGAGGACTCACAGCGATGGAGGCCTTCCTTGCCCACCAATGAGAGATTCCCCGAAGCCAGACCCCTTTGACTTGCTGGTCTTCAGTTGAGAAACATCTATGTGTGTGTGTCTTAGAATCGGTGATCCCCAAAGGGGCGTTCCTTGGCATGCATGGGCGGTCATGGGCGTGTTCCTGGTCAAGGAAGTGGCATGCTCTTCCTTGGGAAACGTTTGACATAAGAATAGCAAGCTGATTCAGCATCTCCAGCGAAGCCTTGAGTCAATGCGCGCCGTGTGCCACTTGAACCGGCTGCCCGTAGTCGACAGCAGTGGAGAAGGTCATTGCTGCACATGCGAATCGGTCAGCTGGCTACGGGGTGGTAATCCATTACAATATAGTGTATGTATTTCGCGTGTACAAACATACAGTTACTGACATGAATATATACATGTAATGTGACCCCCGATACGGTACATAGGTATAAGAACAGGAATCGCCATTCTTTTTCCTTTCTTTCCTCCTTTTTTTTTGGGGGGGGGTTCAAGAGTTGTTCCACCTTGTAGCTTAAATCAGACTCCTATTCCGCGCATTGCCTTTGGTTGGTCGCATGGTTTACAGCCACTCCAAAAGCGGCACCCTCAAAGAAAAGAGCTCACACCTGTGCGGTTCCCCCCAAACTGGTTGGTTTTCCTGTGGTTTCCCTTTATACTTCCCTTTGCTTCACTGTTTTGGGTTTATAGGACTTCTAATTCTGGACACATGAAGTTTTCCAGGGGCTGAATCAAGAGGACTTGGCTTCAGACCTTCTTCAGCGGTTCCCAGTCTTCCTCCATTTTCTTGATGCATTTGTTCCCCCTGTTCATGTCACAGAACAATGTCTTTTTAGGGGATCCCACAAAATGCTGGTGTCCTTCTGGTTTTCCTTTAAAACCAGCAAAAACAGGGGTACCTCAAAACCTGGACGCCCAAAGTCACACTGAGAACTTCACGTTGGGACCCGGACCTCTCCCAGGTGGTCCTGGCCGCGTTGAGCCGTGCGTGTTGCGAGGAGGTCCGCAAGGCGCACGGGCGGAAGGGTGGGCAAGGCCTCGGCAGCGCATAGCGCGCACAGAGTTTTGCCTATTTTATGGCTCACCTGGGAAGAATACGAGCTCAGCATGATTTGAATTCCTTTACTCAAATCATTGTAAGTTTTGTACATAGACAGAGAGCCCTGTTGCGAGGCAACCATCGGGTATACAAGCATTGAATACCCATTAAAGGGTAGAGGAGCTGCTGAGGGGTGTAAGAGGCACGAAGCAAATACCAAGAGTTTGCCCCTACGGGTGACTTCTCGTCTTAATGCGACCCCCTACATCTAGGTTGTTCGGTTCCTGCCTTTCACTTTGCGCAAGACCCCCAAAACCTTATTAGGCTGAAGCATGGCCTTATGTTGCACCAATAAGCGACCACCCCCACCGGCGCACCCCCAAACAAAATACAAAAGACCCAGAT